ATTATCTCTTTAACCATGAAACTGGCCCCTGTGTGATAACGTCCACAGAATCAGAAGGAAAGGAGGGCTGTCTCCCAAAAAGTACCCTAAGGCTTAATAGAGGGAATGGATAACCAGAAAAGCAGAAGCGAAGGCAGGATGAAGAACTGGCCTTGTGGATAGCTGAAGGCGAGACACCTACAAAGTCTGTTTTGTTGTTTGGCTACCAGAGGCAGGTTGATGGGTGGTGATGGAGAAACCCAAATTGTGTGGATTCCTCCTCTCACCAATCCAGAGAATGAACCCGCTCATCTAAGAAAGAAACCAAAAAGAAAATGCAAAGGTATCTTAGTATATGGGAAAGATGTAGAAACTCTTACAGAAAGTAACAGCCCACATCCTTCCCCGTACCACAACTAGTTTACAGACAGAGATGAAAAATCAGCAGCAATAAAGACGTGAGCAGAGAATGATTATACCTAGCTGGGGCTGGGAGAGAATAACCTACTTCATATATATCATTATCTTACATTCCACAATATATATATTAAACTTCTCAATTCACATGCAAATCATCAACAGGTACTAGATACCTCCCTTCACCCATAATGTGGCACTGAAACTGGAGGAAAAATCCAATCGTGAACAGCATATGGGCACATAAAAGAGCTTAACATAACATTGCTCAATTTTGAACATGCATCCTCAGGGTACTGACAGAGGTTTAAGCACTTTTACTTAAAATTAATTAATCCAGACTACTCAACATACCCGCATTCCATACACAATGACCAGCTTCTTCAATTGGCCAAGCCAGTGCTGCAATAATGTGGTAAAGAATCAATTTAAATCCCTAATGTCCACCAGGCAAACAGTCTAAAGTGTAAATCAGAAGCGTGAATTGAGATCCCTATGCAAGAATCCATTTCTTACTCCACTACTGAGAGGCTGTCTCAAAACAGTCTCAAACTGGATTATTTCTGCAGTGTATTTGGGATGCATGTGGCACTAAACAAGAGAATTATTGTTTATGAATAGCAAAATATCCACTGTTGCTCAACACCAATTAGTTCTCCGTAACTATGTCCAGAAGAATATTTTGGTGCCAACTTTAACTTTCTAGTAACACCAACAAGGATTTTTTTCAAGCTATACCCTCAGCACATATAGTTATTGCTCAAGATACAGCACACAATGTGAACAGAAAATTAAGCATACAAGTTTGACCACCAGACACCAAGCAGGTTGCAGACTATTTCTTAGAAACAGAAATAGAAGCCAGTGTGGTGGAGTGGTTTAAATGTTGGACTATGACTCCAGAGACCAGAGTTCAATTTCCAGCTTGGCCAGCAACCTTGGGCAAGTCACACACTCTCAGCCTTAGGGGAAGGCAATTGCAAAGCCTCCTCTGAACAAATCATGCCAAGAAAATCCCAAGATAGGTTCACCTTAAGGTTGCCATAAGTCAGAAATGACTTAAAGGTACACAGCAACAACTAGAGCCCATACTAATTCTTGTTTAGCCTTGCCTGTTCAATTATACTAGTTCTCTAAGCAGGGAGTATGTTTTTTCACCCATATAAACTCTTATTACCTCTTCAGTGTGAACTGAGGTAATCCAGATGCTTGCCACTTCAGTTTGCAGAACTGTGCAGAGTAGATGATGTTGTTGCTTACCTTCAGGTCATTTCCCACTTATGGTGATCTTAAGGTGAAGCTATCACAGGATTTTTTTGGCAAGTTTCTTCAAAGGGGGGTTGCCATTGCCATCCTCTGCAGTTCAGAGACTGTGGGCCTTTGCAGACTGCCAGAAATAGTGCAAATTGAGTCCACTTTAAGGGTTAGGGTTAGGGAATCATGGGAACTGTATTTTATTGTGGCATCAGAGCTCTCTGACAGAGAAGGCTTAATGTCTCAGAAAAAAAAACAATTCCCATGATTCCCTAGCACTAACCCTAACCCTTAAAGTGGATCAATTTGCACTATTTCAGGCAGTCTGCAAAGGCCCTGTGACTTGCCCAAAGTCACCCAGTGGATTTTCAAAGACAAGCAGGGAATGGAACCCTACTCTTCAGAGTTATAGTCCAACACTCAAATCGCTACACCACAGATCAGGTGTATATTTACTCCAGAAGAAACTGCAGGCTTGCGATAAGGACTGATGCAAAAGCACCTAGTAGTTCTCCTCCAAATTCCAGGGCTATATGCTTTCCTTTCCACAGTGCCAAAAATTCCCCCATTTGGAGAAATGCATGGAGTGTATGTGTGATTTTCAGCTGAAAAATGGCTGAAGGAAAAGGTTAGTCACTAGCCTTCTGCTGAAGAGTGCAGTGGCTCACACCTGGTTTCAATTTAAAAAATTCACCTGGGCACAGGTGAACACAACTGCCCATTACATTGAGATCACACTGTGACTGTGACTCATGAATTTATCCTAATAATTACTGTTTCTCAACTTCATCTTTATTGTTACAGGTTGAAAAAGATACATTTTTAACCATTGCTAACAGAAGTCTAGCCAATTAAACTTGTACAAAGTTTAAAACTCTGTAGATATAATGTAGCACATTTGAGACTAACTAGAGAAAGAAGTTGGCAGCATGAGCTTTCATAGACTTCAGTCTACTTCCTCAGATACATTTGATTTAAACTGTGTTGCGCAGCTGTTCACAAGGAAATAAGCAGAAAACACCAACTGTATTAAGCAGTGTACAGACTGTATCACAAAGTAACACCTGAAACTTTAAAAAAAGAGAGAGCATGGTCTCAATCTATTGTTAGGCTCAACTAGAGCGCCACTGAATTGATTGGATTTCCTTCTTTGACTCTGGAGACCAGGGTTCAATTCCCTGCTCAGCCATGGAAACCCACTGGGTGACCTTGGGCAAGAAGTCACACTCTCTCAGCCTCAGGGGAAGGCAACAGCAAAACCTCCTCCGAACAAATCTTGTCAGGAAAACCCTTAGGGTTGCCCTAAGTCAGAAATGACTTGAAGGCACACAATAACAACAACAAAAAGAGCCCATACTAGAAGTTCTTGTTTAGCCTTGCCTCCTCAATTATCTCTAGTTTTTAAGCAGAGAGTATGGACCTTATCCCACGCTGCTCTCAAAAGTGGCAAGAAACCGATATGAGCATCATTGCAGTACTATAGCGCTAGTATAATATGGCGCTAGCGCTATAATAGCGCTATGGATAAGGTAGCGATATTGCAATGCCCGATGAAACCAGGCATACAAAAGAACCCGAATGATGCTGCATTCCGAGCGGTTTCTTGTTGTATTCTGAGCGACGTCGTGGGATCACCCGGAAAACTATAGCGCTATAGCGCCTGATTCTTAGCGGATTCCGAGCGACGCCGTGGGATCACCCGGAAAACTATAGCGCTATAGCGCCTGATTCCATGTGGATTCTTGCTGCTTTTGGCCCCGTGGGATAAGGTCCTATGTTTTTTTTCAGCCATATGAACTCGATTACCTCTTCAGTGTGAACTGTGGTAATCCAGATGTTTGCCACTTCAGTTTGGAGAACTGTGCAGAGCAGATATTGTTGTTGTTGTTTGTCTTCAAGGGCGGGATATAAATAAATGTTGTTGTTGTTATTATTATTATTATTATTATTATTATTATTATCAAGTTGTTTCCCATTTATGGCAACCTCAAGGTGAAGCTATCACAGGGTTTTCTTGACAAGTTTCTTCAGAGGGGGGTTTACCATTGCCATCCTCTGAGGCTGAGAGTGTATGACTTGCCCAAGGTCGCCTTATTTAGGGTTGCCATGAGTCGGAAATGACTTGAAGGCACCCAACACACACACACACACTTGGCTGACCATTCAACAACTGATTGAATGGATTCACAGCCAATATTTATTCATTTTTAATTGACTTTTTAAGGTTTATTTTCTGAGTTCCTTGAAGCTCCCCAAGGTAAAATAAGAGGCATCTCAACTGACGCTTACCTGGAAAAACAAAACCACACCTGGAACCTCAATTTCCTCATTCCCAGGTTGTGGAGGACAAAGCAAACACATGCTCAGAGGTACGCTTTCTCAGGGTGTCCTCCTTTTCCAAGACCCGTCCTCCATTTCAACTGCTTTGCCCTCCATTTTGAGCATGACAGAGGCTGCATCCGCACTGCAGAAATAATCTGAAATAATCTTTAACTGCAGTGGCTCAAAGTTGTACCTTTGTGAGACATTAAGCCTTTCTCTGTCAGAGAGAGAGAGAGAGAGAGAGA